GTAGTGAATTGTAGCGTGTCGAACAAGGGCAGTTCATATGCACAAAGCAGGATTATTGACGTATAGAACTACATTAATATGAAGCCATCAGTGAGGTCGCTAAAAAATTTTACATTGTATATTTCTCGTTTCTTTCTCGAAGAGAACGTGAAATACAAAATTCATTATTTTGTTGATGTGTCAAAGTCAGCTGGTCAGCTTTTCGATTTCTTCAATTCGATATGAAGTAGATTTCGAGGATCCTTGATCNGTAGAGTTGGATTTTTGTGCTCGTAGAGTTGGATTTTTGTACATTCGTACTCTTCGAGGGATGCTCCTTCCCTCAACCAAACATCGTTTTTTCCCCTCTAATAAAGATAATCATTGCAAATTCGGTTGAATTGATTGATGCTTTATCTTAAGCCTAGACATAAGCTGCAAAAAGTGTTATTGTTCAACGTATTTTGGTTTTTTGCAGAACTTTCCGGGTCATGCTTGGGTACGTGATAATGTATATGCAGCACACGCACTTTGGGCTATGTATCGTGCCTATCAGAAAAGTGCAGATTTCGACGATGATCTTGCAAAGGCGAACGAACTTGGCTTAACATGGTTCGGTATTTTGTGTGATCGTTTTCTGCTATACAGTTTCAACTTTTTAATGCAAAGTCTCACCGAATGTTTTATGCATACACACAAAATATATAGATATAGTTTACAAGTGAGTTGAATGAAGCGATATTTTGCAGTGTAAAATTGATGCAGTCATTGATGGAATGTATGATGTTACAATCCGAAAAAGTCGAACAATTCAAAACTTATCAACGTCGCAACGATGCGTTACATGCTAAATATTCGGTTGGCACTAAAAGTACTGTGTGCGGTGACGAAGAGTGGGGTCATTTACAGCTTGATGCCACTTCGCTTTTTCTACTTACTCTCGCCCAGATGACCGCATCTGGTTCGTAAACTATTTCAATTCTTTCTCTGGAAAATTTAGTTTTTTTTTTAAATTTCGGATATATATCGTAGAATGACGTATTGTTGTTTGAATTTGATGAGATCATTCTTCAGTACATTCCATTACTTTCTGTTTATGCAGTGCAAACTTGAGGCATTCATGAGGTTGAATATGAAAATATTCTCATCTATGAACTGAATTGCTTCATCCATTCCAACGTTATCGTGATTGGTCATTCTCACTGAAAGAATCTAGTAATCAAATTTACTGAAGAATTTTTCATTCAACGCTATCATGGAATGTTCTTTGCAGGTTTACAAATAGTTCGTAATTTTGATGAGGTCGCATTCATACAAAATCTTGTTTATTATATCGAAGCCTCCTATCGAACTGCGGTTAGTTGGTTTTTGAAAAATAGAAATGGAACACAATTCAAATAATTTATATAGGACGACTAATAGACCTGTTTTCACTATGAAAATTTAATGTTGCTGACCAGTTGACGTATTTCTAGTGCAAAAAGTTTTAAATTTCCATCTGAAACAAACCCAATGAATTCTTTCATCGGTTTATAGTGATGCAAAATGTGTTTCTTGATTAGGATTATGGTATCTGGGCACGAGGTGATAAGACCAATCAAGGAATAAGAGAGTTGAACGCGAGTAGTGTTGGCATGGCAAAAGCAGCGCTTCAAGCACTCAACGACGTTGGTGATTTGTTTGGGGATGGCTCTAAAGGTAATCACTCTTCCTGTTGTTTATCTTGATTCACTTTCTCACGTCGTATTATGCTGACTTTAAAAAGAAGTATTCTTCATTCAGATTGCTTTAAATTCACCGCAGTAAATCGATGTACCCACCAAACGTGATTGAAGTTCATGTGTTTTGGTTTATGGTTAGATTCGACTATTGAGGCGAATAGTTTAGTAATGTTTGATATTCGGTAATGAAAATAATTACTTGAAGGTTCTGTTATTCACGTATTACCTGATCAAATCGAACAGTGTAACGCCGTATTGACATCGATGTTGCCGAGAGAATCATTTTCAAAGGTATTTTGTCACTTCGATTGTCACTGATCATTAATGTGATTTCAAGTATAGCTGAGTCAAAACACTAAAGTTGTGTTGTTGGCCAAAGACTACCTGCGCGGTGAGAAATATTACGACGATATTCAACGTTTCAGCGCCATCTTTAGGAAAGTCTTTTTGAATCACTCAAAGAAAAGTTCTTTAAAAAATGAGTGCGGCCGTTCGCGAGACACTATCATTTGTGTATAATTAACGCAAAGCGCCAAAACGTTGAAAGTCGTCGTAATGATTCTTACTGTGCAGGTAATCTTTTGCCAAAAGCATAATCTTAGTGCTTTGAGTCACTTGATACCACCATGCGCTTTATGAATGAAGAAAGTTCACAGTAATTTACATACATTTTTCCTCCGTATAATTTGATTCAGTTGATGTTTTTGACTTGGACAGGAAACCGATTCGGCTCTACTGACCGTAATATCGTATCCGGCATTCGCTGTTGAGGATCAGCATTTGATCCAAGAAACTCGTGAGACTATAACTGAACAAATGCTGGGCAGATACGGCTGTAGACGTTTTTTGCGTGATGGGTATAAAACACCGCTTGAGGTTAATCACAATTTTACTGATAGTACAATTTATTGTTAATCATTGTTTTATTGGACTGTATCCCTTACCATTCAGATTTTAGTTTGCTGATTGAGCGTGCTTGTAGTGGTCAAATTTTCAATTAATTATGTCTTTGGGAAGTTAGCAAAGTTGTTATGAAATAATCTCTTCAAAAATTTTCGCATATTTTTGAATTATTATTTTCTTAGTGGCACTTATGTTTTTCTTGACTAACAATTTACTTGAGCGTATCTTATTGAGCCAACATACCTTCAGGTCTATCCTTTATAATAATATTTTCGTCCTTTCATCATTAGTACATTTTTTTTTGCAAAAAAATTTTTTTCTTGGGAGCTACATGAAATTTTTATGGAGTGGAGAGAGGCGTTTTAGAATGGTTGAAATGCAACTGAGAGGATTAATGCCGGTCGTTTCAGGATCCCACTCGGCTCTATTACAACAACTCAGAATTGCAACAGTTCGAGGACATCGAATGTGAATGGCCATTGTTTATTTGTTATTTAATGCTTGACGCAATGTTCGCTCGCGACGATGCGATGGTCGAGCAATACTGGCGTATAATGGAAGATGTTCGTTTTTCAAATAATTTGAAATTGCTCCCGAGTAACTCGGTGTTTTTTCTTTCTCGGGTAGAATTTTTATCATTTTCTTCAGGAAGGACCTTTGAAACGATTCCATTATTGTTGAACGTATCCAGTTCATTAGAGAAATATTGCACAATTTTGAATTATAATTATGAATGTATACAGATAGTCATTGTGAAAGATGGCTGTCGTTTGGTGCCAGAACTGTACGCGGTGCCCTACGAGAAGGTTGCAGCTGAAAAGCATCAACGTGGTACGCAGGACAGAGTACCGGCTGGTGCAACGTAAGTTTTGTTGATTTATGATGAGCAATTGAAGTATTTCTGAGATATATATGCAGATATTTGAATCATTTCTAGCGTAATGTAATGATCAAGTATAAACGCATTCTTCACTATTATTCTTTTGATCATAATGATTAAAATTTTCTCTTTTGAATTTGGATTTTTTGTTGTGTTGTTCTGCTCTGACTGAAGATAAATCTCTTCGTAGGAATCAGTCACAAAATGCGAATGAATTTCATCGTGATCAAGTGGCTATTTCAGGCCATATCTATGGGCTCAGTCATTATATATTATTTGCTGTTTACTGTATGGCGGCTTTCTCACTCCAGCTGAATTGGATCCATTAAGCAGGCGTTTATCTGCGTACGAGAAACGACCACCGTGTGAAGTACAAGGTAAGTGTTTTATTAATGGCCACCTTTTTATGACTGAGGTCTTCTTTGATATCGCCATTCATCTGTTAAGAATTGTTCACGGTCAATATCATTTCTGCATTCAGTTCTTGTTTTTCGCGTTATATTTCTCTATCAAACGTATCATCGTTGACTGTGAAGTAGTCACAATGTACGATCATTTGAGATAGATAAATGATAATGCATCCTATGATCCGATTTTTGCTGAGCTGATTTTATTGTTCGCAATTTAGTGTCAATTCTGGCGGAAAACTATGAAGTTCAACAAGATTTATTAACTCACGGGATTGTTGTTCAAAGTATTGGTGAGGTCGAAGAAGTTTTCGCCATTCAGCCCGCTTCTTCATTCGCAAAAATTCTTTCAAGGTTTTTTTTCTTGTTTCTTGCTTTAGATATTTTGCCGTTCTTTCTTTGTTTCGTGAATAACATTCGGTTTTTCATTTCTTAAGCAAGTGGCGTTTTTAATGAATGTCAAAGTCGTCTTTATCGAACACGTGTTTGTCATGGAACCGTTTCATTATTATTGATGAGTATGTCTCGTTTCTTAGATTGGGTCAATCAAAAAAACTCAATTTGACGGGTCGACCACTCGATATCGATGTCGGTGTACTGAGTACAAGTCGAATTTACCAGCTTGAACGAAAATTTGTCATTTTTACTCCGCAGGTGCGTTCGCTTGTTCATTTCTGTTCATCTTGTTTAAGCATTTCTAAGACCTTTCAAATAGAACCTTGCATTCTTTTTCAGTTTATGGATCGACGTCGATCACATTTGATGTACGATATTCGTATATTGATGGATGAATGGAGCTCAGAATTGCAGTATATTTACAGTACTTGGAATAGCACCAGTGTATCTGGCCGTCCACTTGTTGTGTTAGTTGTAGCGAAAAATATGTTAGAGGCGGTATGTCTTGCTTTTGATAATTATTATTTTCATATTCTCAAAAAATACCACATTGTTAGAGTTGATATTCGATTGCTGTTGATCAGAAAATATTGAGATCCAATTTAGACAAATATGTTAATCATGGATTGAGGTTCTTGTTTGAACGATATTGGGCATTTACAATTGTATTCAGTTGGCAACTGTGAATGTGTCCTGTGAAGAGTTGCAGTTTATTTCATTAAAATCTTACAGCTCATTTCACTTGCACATCTTTGTGTCATGATTTTCTGTATAGTAATCCCTTTCATGCTAAAGTTAATCTTCTTGCGAACATATCTTTTTTCAGTCTCTTCCAGATGTTGTTGTAAGTCGTTTTTTAAATTCTACTGGAA